CGTATTTCCCGTGCAAATGCAATGTAGTGCATCATTGCAATGTCTATGTCATACTCAATATGCAATGTATGTCAATGAGCAAATTAAACCACACATCTCCACATGTGTCATGGCAATCTAAATCACATGTATATAATCACCAAAATTCATTATCATATTAATACATCAACTAACATATATCAACAATCCTTCACAAGCATATTATACATAACTCATGTCATAATACACTTCATGTACAAGCACTATAAAACCATAGCATCCTCAAAATATCAAGTTTCAAGAATTACACAAGTACATTCCTTATACCAAACTTAGCTAGGAATTGGTCTAGGCTATTTCCATACCCATTTTTCTTTTATTTTCCACAATCTTAGTCAAGTGACCTAGGTATTTTATACCCTTACCAAATAACATATTACATCCTAGGTAAGAAATGAACTAAAGTAGGAGAAATCCTACCTCTTGAAGCGTAAAAGAAAGGGAGAAAGTTTCAAGAACACTCTCAATCCCCAAACCTTTGATTTTTTCAAAATTCGCCTCTTGGATCTTCGGTGAAATCTTCGTTCTTGATACATACGTGTAGCCCTCGCCGTGTAGATTAACTTTAACTCTTGGTCCGACGGAACGTAGAAATCGAAAAAGCAAAGAAAGGTAGAAATTCTTTATTTTCTCTCTTCACACGTCTGAACACAACCATCCAAATGGGTAAAATATCTAAATTTTAAGATATTTTGCCATTATTTATACTTTTAATTTCGCGGTCCACATCGCCCCACTCATTTATCACTTTCGAATTCGTTTTTAACCCGAAACGACTTAATTAAATTTTATTTTTAGTTCAAATTAATTTTATTTAAAATTTCATCTAATTATAAGAAAATTTTATAATTTTTATTTTGAGGATGTTTAAAAGTTCATTCGTCACTCAATTGTATCGAAAAACATGTAAAATTCAACTATCTCGGAATTTGACGTGGTAACTCAATTTTGCAGTACGAATCCAACAGTGAAGTCCATTGCTCCATCTGAGCTCTTTAGAAATATACATTTTAAACCCGCATAATAGTGATAAATTACCATTTTATCATTTTTTCAAAAAAATTTAAATTTATCCGAGTTTTACAGATAATGTGATGGGTGGTGGATAATGGCAACGGTGGTAAGTGTGGTGGGAATATGTGATAGTGGGTAGCTGTAGTAGTGGGCAATGACTGGTGATGGTGGTGGTTGGTAGGGATAGGTGTGGTGGAGAGGTGAGTGGCAGTGGCTGGTGGCAATTGTGGGCGACAATGGGTGATAGTGGGTGATAATGGGCAACAATAATGATAATGAGTGTTGATGATGGGCGACGGTGGTAGTGGGATGGTGACGACGGATGACGATGGTAACAATCGGTGGTGGATAACGATGGTGGTAAGGTCCAACAGCGCTGATGATGATGGTAGGGTGCGGTAGCAGTGGTGGTGGTGGTGGTGGTAATGATGATGGTGGTGGGGATGGTGGTGGTGATAGTGGTAGTGGTAGTGATGGTGGTGGGGTGGTGATAGTAGTGGTAATGGAGTGGTAGAGGCAATAAAGGTGGTGATAGCAGTGGTGGTAGTAATGGTGGTAGCAACGGTGATGGTAGTGGTGGTGATAGCAGCGGCGGTGGTGGTGATGGTGGTAGTGAGACAGTGGGTATGGTAGGGTGGCGATAGTGGTGGTGGCAGTGACGACGACGACGATGGTGGTGGTGGGGGTAGGGGTAGGGGTGGTGGTAGTAGTGATGATGGTGGAGCGATGGGGGTGGGGGTGGTATAAGTAGTGGTAGGGCGGTTCCAAACATTATTATTATTTTTAAAGTACTTATGAGAAATAATTTTTAGAAACACTTTTAAAAAGTGACTTCAAACACACCCCTAGGTTTGTATTGTATTTTATTTTATTATATAGATTTGACTCGATACATTTTTTTTTATTATTTCAACTATTTTGACTGTAAAAAATTTATTTAACAATTGTATCATTTTAGAAGTGACATATATTAAATTTAGAATACCGATCATCTTATTTAACAACTAAATTAAATTTTTGGGCAAAATTCAGTTTACCTCCTTGTGATTTGGGTATTTTACACATAACTCCCCTATAATTTGGAAATCAGCACATTACCCCCCTTATTCTTTTGAACTAATATGCATAATTAACACCATAAACAGAAATGATAAAATGACTTTAGTACCCTCAACTATTCATCATCTTCTTCCTCCCTCTCAATTATAGCCTAATTTTCTGAAAAATCAACTAACCATCCAACTTTATAAGTTTTTCTCTCTCTTCACAAAGTACCAAACTTACTCAAACCAATGTCAATATCCTCCACTCTCAACCTAGTTTTAAACCCCACGGACTTGTTTCCTTAAATAGCCTCCATGACCCACGAATTTAAGCTCAAAGGTGATCACAAACTCATTTTGGCAAGTTATGTATACATCAGATTTTTTTTAACATTTGGGCCAACTTTGGCCCTTAGTTTCTCCCTCATTTCTCAACCTTTTTGGGTGATTCAAATGCCTAAATTTAACTTCTTTCTACCCTCTTTCTAACCATGTATTTAGTTTGTCCAAATCATGCACAAGGTAAGAAGAAATCGAGCTCCAAAGTGACGGTTCATCATTTTTAAAAATTATCACAATTTTTAATTCAAATTTTCACCCACCAAATCTCATTCTTTCTCGATTCTAACTTCAAAAATGGATTTCTTGACCCTAAAAATGGTGGATTAGGCCCCCCTTTACCTACGAAACTCGAAATTTTGAATACCAAAAATTCAAGTTTCAAATTTAAACAAGGGTTTTGATTTTCTCTCACTATACACCACGGCCACTAAATAAACTTTAGGAAATTGTTATTGAATATGAAAACAAGCTTACCCTATCACAGAATTGTGGATGATGCCTTGTAGTAAAAGTTCTCTTTGCAATTAACAACTCAACACTCATCTCAAAACCCATTTAAAAATCATTTGTAATTTTGCATTCGAAGCTTCTGATAGAAACTCATACCCAACACTGAGTGCGAATATATGAAAATTAAATGGTGAGTATGTTTTAAAAGGTTATTGAGGTAGTCAACGTATTTGGAGAAAACGTCTTTCATGGAAGAGGACTCAGTGGTCACTGGTTACTGTTCTTGGCTTCTTTGCTGCGCTTTGTAAGGTCGACTCAGAGAGAGAGAGAAAGATTATATTGACGAAGGTGCTGGCGTTTGGAAGCCATGAGGATGAGTTTGTGGAAGGCGGAGGAGTATAACATCTGTTAATATAGGGCCATTTTTGACATTCGGGTATATTTATTTTGGAGAAAAGCTGATAACTTTATTGATCAATCGTCAAACTAGCGCGTCCTCTCCACTTCTGTCTATTCTGATGAAAAATCTAACAATTGCAGTTTAGTCCATAACTATAGGGGAGTGATGTGTTTATTTCCAAATGATAGGATGGTCATCTGCTCAAGGCACAAACCACGAGGGGGTAAACTGGAATTTGCCCTAAATTTTTAGACAAACTAAGTGAAAAGTCCCTTGATATAGATGATATATAAAAACTAAGTAAAATAAGTTTTAATTCTAAAAAAAACTATATAATACAACTATAAGAAATAAAAAAAATTGAATATTCTTTTATACAATACCAATGAAATTTATTTGTAATATCAAAATTAGATGATTCCTATTTGATATTAACCCACAGTATCTGATCCTTTGTGACTTGACTATTGGTTAATTAAATTGACAATATGACAACATGGGCCTAGTAGTGCGTAACAATGGTCTATAATTTAACCATATGTCTCACAGCCTATTAACCGGCTGGGCTTATTAACAAGTAACAACTGACTTGGTCAACTAATTTTAACCATGGTTAGATTACTGTACCCATAAAATGCCAGCTTCCCTCCTTCGAGTCCATCGATCACAGTCTACGTTACTTTTGGATTTCACCGGTTTAAAATCGCCGGAAAACTTAAAAACCCACCGGGCAATGACTGTGTTCACGAACAAGGCCGCCGGATTTCTGGCCGGAAAGCAAGTGTTCCCAGTAGAGTGCGAGTCGGTGGTGTCTCAACGCCTTGTCGACGCTGTTCACGCTAACGACGTCAAAACGGCGTTGGAGTGCATTGCTAATCCCTTCATTGATGTTAACTACATTGGAACTGTGAATTTGAAGGCGAGGAAGACGGAAATAGAGTTGAACTATGAGTGTGCGAATGAAGTTCGTTTCGAGTTCGAAGAGTTCAAGACGGAGGTCACCGCTTTGTTCCTGGCTGCTCATAATGCAAATGTGACGTTAGTCAGGAAATTACTGGTGAGTTTTTGTTTCAATTTTGTGGAAGTCAAGCTCGATTTTGAATCCTGGTGGATTACTTCAAGGTTTTCTGTGATTTAAGGACTGAAGTCCGTTTTACTTCTGGTTTTATCAAAGTCTGGGTTTTTACGGGCGTTTTTGCTGTGAAATGTTTATTGACTTCACTATTTTTACATTTTTCTGTGATTTGTTCAAGTTCTGCAGTTATCCCCCATCTTCATCTGCCTCTCTCACACGCACCCAGAGAGAGAGAGAGAGAGACACACACACACACACAGACATTTGGTTTATTTTTACTATGAGAAAATATGCTGAAAGATTAAAAAAAAAAATAGCTTTGAAGTCATTCGAGAAGCAGAGACATGAGGGATAGTTGATTTTTTTTTTTTTTGGGCATCTTGAAAGTTTTGGTTGACCTCAAATATAAATGTTATTTATTTTGTAACCTTTCTTTGATGATTTTCTTGGTAATTTTATAGGCGTTAAATCCTCGATTTCGTTTATAAAAGTTTGAAGCTTGCAAGCAATCTGGGATTGTTGCTTGAAATTCGCCATTAAGAGTGTTCTCTGGATATCTTCTAGATGTAGAGGCTGTATATAATTTACTGTAAACGTATAAGAGAATTAATGCTTCGTTCAAAATTCAAAAAATCATTAATGTAATTTGGTAATAATTATTTCCGCGAGGGAAGATTCATGTAAAGTTCACTACAGCTATAATCTGAAAGTCGTTTTGGTATTTTTCTGGGGACAGAGTGTTGGAGGCAACGTGAACCAGAAATTGTTTCGTGGCTATGCGACGACAGCAGCAGTGAGGGAGGGACATATTGAGATTTTGCAGATACTGATAAATGGTGGGGCAGCTCAGCCTGCGTGTGAGGATGCTTTGTTGGAGGCAAGCTACATGGGGCTGGACAGACCTGCTGAGATTCTTATGGGCAGTGACATGATCCGCCCCCAGGTTGCAGTGCACGCTCTTGTCACCGCATCATGCAGAGGGTTTGGGGATGTTGTTGACACACTCATCAAGGTACTTCATGTGTCTCATACATGCGGGACATTTCACATGAGAACCTGACATATTACCTATAAATCTTTAACTGTAGACCCCAGTTGGTTGAGTTTTTTTTTGGTCAGGACAGTTGGTTGAGTTCAGTGACCATGAAAACTATACCAAATATTGGCATAAGTTGTGAAATAGTAAATTAAGATTCGCATAAGGTACACAGAAGTGTAGATCTAAGGCTTGATTGAGAGTCAAGTAAATGTGGTTTCTTGTATCAATGGTGATCAAAGAGGCCACCATTCGCTAGAAACCTGTAAATCATTAATACTATTTGAACTTTATCTGTATTCTAAAATTGGGTCTCTTATGCCTGCACTTTCATTAATTGGAAGTCCTTTATTTGTAATTGAGCATGTAAACTTTAAGGTTAAGGAACTGAGGTCGGGATTCCCACTAGCAGAACTGAATTTAATTATCTTTAGACTTGCACTTACCTTTCTGCAGTTCCCCAAATCAGCTCCGTTGGTTTTTCGTAATAGCTATCATTTGAGTGTAAAATTGCTGAATTTCCAGCCATCTATCTTCCAAAATTTCATGAACAATGTTGGATATTTTGTAGTATTGCCAACTTTCTTTTTATTGCATCTCTAACTAGTCAGTTTAGGCCCACGGTAAAAGTACGAGTTGGCAAAATGATTTTGAATGACTAAAAAAATTTGACTGCAGAACTTGTATCTGGGAGAAATGAAACTGCAGAGAAGATTGTCTATTTTCCTTGTTGCTATTTATATATTTAAGCTTAAGGGCTGGCTTTCATTTGAACCTGGGCCTCCTTGATTTCTAACAAGGAGATTCATGGAGGTTCATAACAAACCTAGGATTTGTTTGCCAAGTCTAGAATAAAATTCAATTAAGGATAATACCGGCTTCCCAATATCCCTATTGAGGAGAGTCCCCACCTCCATGCCAACTATATTCATATAAATGACCAGTTGAAGTTCCCAAATGACATTTATGCTTTTGATTGGTGGCAGTGTGGAGTTGATGCCAATGCAAATGCCCGGGTGCTGCTTCGGTCCTCCAAGCCATCTTTGCATGCCAATGTTGATTGTAATGCACTTGCTGCTGCCATTGTTAGTAGGCAGATTTCTGTTGTTCAGCTGTTGTTACAGGTAACTATCTTGATGCAAGATGACCAAAACTTTGTAAATAAGATGGATTTTCCAGCAGGATATTATGACTAGCATATATCTCATGTAAAAGACCCCATGTCAGGAGTGTCGGACCAAATGATTGCCTGCAGGTCACAATATTGCAGGGTATCATAAAACCAATTCCTGACTTTCAGGTTGAGTCTACAGCATCCCCTTATATGGTCCCTTGTGTATGCTGCCCATTTTCTAGCCCCACCGGCAGGATCAGTAGCTGGTTGTTCAGTTTCTAATATGAGCATTATGATTTGTCAGACTCAAGCTATGATCTAATATGAAGTTATTCTTTGACATGGGACAGAAGCATGGTGCCAGAACAGACACCAAGGTGAGACTGGGAGCCTGGTCATGGGACACAGCTACAGGAGAAGAATTTCGGGTGGGTGCTGGGTTATCTGAACCGTACAGTATCACATGGTGTGCAGTGGAATATTTTGAAGCCAGTGGCACCATCTTGCGCTTGCTCCTGCAGCACCTCTCACCGAACATCCCTCATCTCGGGAGGACAATCATTCACCATGCCGTCCTATGTGGCAATGCCAGAGCAGTCGAGGTGCTTTTGAATTCCGGTGCAGATGTGGAACTTCCAATTGAAACAACTAAAGGAACAGAGTTTCGCGCAATACATATGGCTGCACGACTTAACTTAGCTGAAGTTCTCCAATACATTATCAATGCTGGCTGCAATCTCAATTCCAGGACTGAATCTGGTGAGACTGCACTAATGATCTGTGCAAGGTTTAAGTGCAAGGAGTGTCTCAAAGTTTTGGCATCAGCAGGTGCGAATTTTGGTTTGGTCAATTTGGCTGGTCAATCTGTTATCTCAATTGCTGGATTAGTGTGGTGGACACTCGGATTCCAACAAGCGGTTCTAGATGTAATTCGAGCAGGGAAGGTTGTTCAATCTAGCAGTGCAAAAATATTGTCTCCACTGATGTTTGTGACGCGAGTAAATGATATTGAGGCCTTAGAAGTACTTACCAAGCAACCACACATCAATCTTGATGAGCAAGATGAAAATGGATTCTCAGCAGTCATGGTTGCCGCAGCAGGTGGTCATGTGGAGGCTTTCCGTGTTCTTGTTTATGCTGAGGCTGATGTACAGCTACTTAATAAGTACGGTGACACAGCAATTAGCCTATCAGAAGCAAATCAGAAGAGTGATGCTTTTGAACAGGTAATGCTAGAATATTCCCTTGCAAAGGGAAAGCACGATTCAGGTGGATTCTGTGCTCTACATCGTGCTGCACGTCGTGGTGACCTAGACTCTGTATGTACGTTGACTCGTGCAGGCTGTGACGTTAATGTGCTCGATTGTGATGGATACACTCCACTTATGCTAGCAGCAAGAGGAGGTCATAGGAAGATTTGTGAGCTCCTGATCTCATGTGGGGCAAGGTGTGAGATTCAGAATGCTAGGCATGAGACTGCACTCTTCTTGGCAAGGAAAAATGGGGTGGGAAATGATGCAGAATGTGTAATATTGGATGAACTGGCTCGGAGACTTGTGTTGGGTGGAGCTTTTGTGAAGAAGCACACAAAGAAAGGTAAAGGAACTCCCCATGGGAAGGTACTCAAGATGGTGGGTGCCGCTGGTGTGTTGAGGTGGGGAAAATCAAGCAAGAGAAATGTAATATGTAAGGGAGCTGAGGTGGGTCCCAGTTCAGCATTTCGGTGGAACCGCAGGAGGAAGTTTGATGCTGATGAACCAGGAGTGTTTCGGGTCATCACCACCAAGACCATGGAGGTTCATTTTGTGTGCGAGGGTGGAATTGAAATGGCCCAGCTGTGGGTGAGAGGAATTAGACTTGTAACTCAGGAAGCTATTTTTGGCAAGAGAATGGGAGATGATTGAACATTGCTTTGTAACTTTCTTTTTTCAGGCCTTTGTATAGAAGCCAGGGATATATTATTATCACTCCCCCTCTCTTTTTTGTTAGTAAGCCTCGCAACATTGCATATCTAGCAGCAACCTATTTGCTCTTCGCAACCGGAAAATATTGAAACTCTCACCCAATCCCCCATTGGGTGTTATGTTGAGCTATATGTCCTTGAAGTTTGCAGAAAGGCAACTCAATGAGAGAAAAAAATTGAACAGTGAACAGGTTCACAGGCCTTATAAATTGCATTCATTTCATTTCTATGGAGCTTGGCCCTTAACAACCACCAGCGAGATTGATCAAATCTAATGCTCCGTCTAGTAAGATGGAAAAATGGTAGGATAAAAAGTTGGAAGGATGGAAAGTTGGAGGGATAAATAAAATATTTGTTTGATAAGGAAGGAAAGTAAGAAGGATGAAAAAGTGGTTAGATTAATTTTCTTTCTAACTCATCAAAATCAATTCGTTCAAAATCGGAAGGAAAGTGGATGAAAAGTTAATTATTTATGTTGAAATGTATCATATTTGTCTATATATCTTTATATATTCATATATTATGTATATATTAGTTTCATATAAAAATACAATAGTAATATATATATTAATTAAAAAAAAAAAATTTAAAAAAATTAATATAAAAATAAAAATAAAAATTTTAAATTAAAAAAAAAATATTTTTTTCATCTTAATTAAGGGTGAAAATTTTTAACTTAACACGATAACACGACTCGAATTCGATAAGAAAATAAACAGGTTAACTCACAACTCGACACAACACAATAAGTTAAATGAGTTAAGGTAGGTTTGATTAATATTCGACACAAACTCGTAATGACTCAACATGAATTTGATATGACACGACTCGATTGTCACCCCTAAACTTAGCCATCACCAAAAAAAAAAAAATAGTTATTTTTATTTTCCATTCATCCGACCAAACAAAAAGGAAAAAAAGTGTATTATTTCTACTTTTCATTCTTAAAGAATAAAAAATATATCCTTCTTACTTTCTATCTTCTCCGCTAAACAGAGCATTAAGAAACAACTCCATCCCTTAAGAATGCATAACATGGTCTCGTAAGATTTTAATTGCTCAATTTCAGAGTTTTATAAAACATGTTCACTTGAATTACGTTTAAAAACTCAATACATTTAAATTTGAAGAATTAAACTCGGTGGAAATTGATAAATTTTGAAAAAAAAAATAAAAAATCAGAAGAGCTTGAAAGCTCCAAAGGAATAGAAAAATGCTCATCCAGTTCACACCGGGTGACCGGGCCTCAAGCCTCAGGTGTATAATTGTACAGAACAGACGATGGACGGAGCCACTTTGGAATAAAACAAACGATTATGGGTGAAATTTGAGAATAGAAATATTTTAGGGTTCCAATTGAGAATTCAAGCATTTTTTCAGGTACAAAGTGCGATTAACCCAAAAGGAATCAACCCGTTACCCGAACCAATTTCAGTCGGAGTCGGAGGCCAGCGCAAAACGAAAATCATTCGGCGAAAGGAAGGGGCAACCTCTAAAACCCTTGCTGTTTCGTTTGAGCATTGATTTCACTTGATTTATCAGTACCCTGCAGAGTCGAGCTTTGCTTTATTGTTTTGATCAATGGCAAATCTTCCGATCCTCCGATTTGAAGAGAAGATCGTAGAAACAGTGGAAAAAAACCCGGTGGTGGTGATTATAGGAGAGACCGGTTCAGGGAAGAGTACTCAGCTCTCTCAGATGCTATACAAAAGAGGTTACACCAATTCTGGCGTCATTGCCGTTACTCAGCCCCGACGAGTCGCAGCTGTTTCAGTTGCAAGGTGATATTCTTACTCTCCATAGCATACATCTCTATATTTATGTCTGCGTTTGTATATGCATACCTGTGAATCAGATTGCGATGAGAGTATTGCTTGGAGGAGCTCTTCATTTGATTTATTAATGAAAATTAAGTTTTGATTGCTGAGAAAATTGTTACCAATGTGATAAATTAAAGGTCATTAGGTTGTTTTCTTTCTATAGATATGTAATTTGAGATGTACAGTTGCAAAACTTATGAATTAGAAACTTTGATGCTTACAGTATGTTAATGGAACTAGGAAAAAGTTTAAAGCTTAGATATGAGAATTGGAGACTTGATTTACCTTTGGTTAGTTTGGTTGAGCAATTTGCAAGTTTTACAGCACAATATGCATGGTTAGTCTGGTTATAATCCAGTGATTTCAAGGCTTATCATGTGCTGGATTGTACACTATTGACAAACTTTTATGTCTCCTTTTACTTTTATTTTTGTTATGCACAGACGGGTGGCGCAAGAGCTTGGTGTTCAGCTTGGGGAGGAAGTGGGCTTCGCCATTCGTTTTGAAGATAGAACTTCAGAGAAAACACGTATTAAGTAATGTGATTTTACTCCTGGAAGATGATTTTTAACTTAATGGTTATCTGTAGTTTGCCAACTCATTTTTCCGAATTGGAATAGGAGAAATCACATATGAAGTAGACATGGCATTTGGAAGCCTTGAACAAGGAGAACCAATTCTATAGAAAAGTGGCTAATTGTGCCCAACCCCTAGTCAGAGCTCAAATAAACTATGATCACAAATACATGTGTTACGGAACACAACCAATAAAAGCCTTCTTAAATCGACAAGTAGTCTAACTAATATACAAACCCTAATCCCATTTTAAGCTCAATGGATATTAATATGGACACACATTTGTCGATAGAGAGAATACACCTATCAAGTAATGTGTTCAATAGAGAGAATATACCTATCAAGTAATGTGTTCTTTTTTTTTTTTGGCTAAAAGTTGATTTCAAGCTTAATAGCCATTTCTAGTTTTCTACTCTGCTGGTCACTAACTTGGGGTTGTTATAATGCCCAGATACCTTACTGATGGAGTCCTCCTCCGAGAAAGTCTTTCTAACCCTGAGCTAGATCAGTATTCAGTAATCATATTGGACGAAGCTCATGAGAGGAGTCTAAACACGTAAGGCTTGTTTCCCATGCTTCCTTGACATGGTTTGAACTATGAATCTATTTTGTTTTGGGTCCTTTTCCAACGCCATATTGTGTTCCATAGAATATACTAATGGAAACTGGAAAATTTTCGGGTTATTGGAACTTCTATAGTGTGTATGTTTGATTATTCTGTATATTTCCATTCAGATTATTATTTGCTCTGTATAAAATGCACTTCGTTTAAGGAAGCATATATGGTCAGGGATATATTGCTGGGACTGATGAAACGGTTGATTAAATTGCGTGCCTCCAATTTGAAAGTTTTGATCACTTCAGCTACTCTTGATGGTGAAAAAGTATCAAGATTCTTCTCTAGTTGCCCCATCCTGACAGTCCCAGGGAAGTTATTTCCTGTGGAAATACTCTACAGCTCAGAGCGCCCCAAAAATTATATCGAGTCTTCTCTGAAAACAGCTATTGGTATGACTGCAACTTTGGGTTTCAATGCATTCTCATTTACATGTCCGTTAGCTTGGTTTTGTTGCTTCAGTTCTTTATTATCCTTCCTTCTGCATTGCATACCTAGGGGACTATGTTGTTGTTTGCATTATGGAACATATTCTTTTGTTTTGGATTTCAGTTTGCTTGAGATTGTGCTGACCAATTTGCTTCAATAGATATACATGTTCGAGAACCAGAAGGGGATGTCTTAATATTCATGACAGGACAGGTTAGCATTTTCTATGTCATGCATAGCATGGAATATTATTGGAGTAATAACTCATAGTTCTTATGTTTACTGCACCTTGCGCATTTTGATTGGAAGCTTTTCACATGAGGTTTTCTATAGGATGACATAGAGAAGTTGGTATCTAAATTGGAGGAGAAAATTCTAGGCCTTGCAAAAGGTTCTTGCATGGATGCCATAATACTTCCCCTTCATGGATCTTTGCCACCTGAAATGCAGGCAAGTTTTGTCTATTTATCTTGTTTTGATAAATTCCTACAAACCTTATTCTATAGTCTTGCTGCTTATATATCAGTTGCTTCATGGTTTTCTCAAATTGGATGGCCTTTAAAGGACTCATGTGGTATGTGAGCAACTACTCTTGCCTGTCCCAACTTTGAGTAGTATTACTTCGCATGATAGCACATTCACGAACGCCATCTGTCCAAGTGCATTGAAGGTTCTTAATTTCCTCTTTATTTGTAACCCATGTTTCAAAATCCTTTTATGGTTGTTTGTTGATCAGCTCATTACGATGGGCATGACATTTGGCATGGGCTGAGAGTGATGTGAAGATTTTGCAGAAATAGTATTGACTAATTTTTACTATGCTTTTGGGTTTCTTTCTTGAGGATTTAATTCAATAGAATCAATTTATTCCATTTTTAAAGTATTCTGATTGAAATGGGGTGTGTTTGGATAGCGAAGAAATTAATAGACTTCGCCCTCCCAGTAGATCTTTTGTTGCTGTTTTTATTTTCGTTGTTGCCTAATGATGAAAATTTGACTTGTCCTATCAATCAACCTTCTTATAACTGACATTCTATGACTCAATAATGCTATTAACTAGTAACTTTGAGGGACCAGCTTCATTCCATGGTAGATAACTAATAATTCTCTTACTCGTAATTTGTATTGAAAAATTATGTTGTATTATTAATTATTGGAGAGGAAAAAAAGTATATCACCCCTGATAATATGTGTATCTATCAGTCATAGTAAAGAACATTGTGAACTACAAGGTGAGGTGCATAAAATATCATATTTATTTTTTGGGGAATAATCTGCCACCCCCTTAAAATATCTGTGTTATTTTTTACTTTTGTGGTGAAACCAATGTACTGCATAAATGTTAGGTCTGTTTTTGTCTGCCCTCTCATGGAGCTTGTGTAAGTAGGACCACACTGGGTAATGACCTTTACTATTATGCACTACTTTGCAATGAATGGGAAAATATTAGCACTCTTAGATCAGCCCTTGTTACGTGGTTTTGCTAATTTGTATATACTTTTCGACATCATCTATTGAGGTTGATGTTGACTTTTTTTTCTTATCTTTGCAGTTCATCTTTTGAATTGATAAGTAGAGCTGGGATTGCATTCTTTTTTCTAGCTGTAGTTTGACCTATTTCTCTTTGTTTAATTGTTGATTCTTCATGTTTTGTTAACCCTGTAGGTACGTGTATTCCATCCTGCGCTTCCAGACTGTAGGCGATTTATTGTTGCTACAAACATTGCTGAAACTTCTTTGACTGTTGACGGTGTTGTGTAAGGATGCTTGGCACTTGCATGATAAATGTATCTGCGCATAGTTAAAAGAGTTTAATTTTGACCTTCATAATCACTGTTTATCTCCTTGTGTTCTGTAAAAGGATGTTGCATATGATTTGCAATGCTATATTCTCAAGGCCAAAAACTAGGATACCCATGTTATTCAACAATACCTTTATGGATAAACTTTTTTATGAAGATCAACAAGGTTATTTTGAGAATACCAACATATAATAAAAGGGTTTTTTTCTAAAGAAGACTCCTGGAGGAAATAAAATAGACCATTAGGCATCGTGGACGTGTAATCACAAAGCACTTGAATCTGTTCTTGGCTGATTAATATGGACAGCCATAGACATAAGTGTGGAAGATATGAGGAACATATCCTCTCTTATTTTACATATTTTTATAGTTTACTCACTTTGATTATCTTAACCCTTTCTCGCTATCACAATATATCCCTTTTTGTACATGATTGAAATATGTTTTTAATGGCTGTTACAATTGGTCTTTCCCAGAGAAATGCAAAAGGATAAATAATTGAAGTATTTATTATACTACTGCATGTAAGAGTAAGATTGCTCTGCTCTTTTGCTACAATAGAATATTTGTGAATCTTAGTGATTTGTTTCCCTGTATATATATTTCTTCTGCTTCCTGTTAGCCGCTGCTTGAAATTGTACTAAAATTTACCTTTTTGTTGTTTTTTTCTGTAGTAAGCAAATATGTGAATGCCAAAAGAAAAAATGTTGGTTGATCAGTATTTTGAGTAAATTTAGGTAGCACTCTCCTGTTAACATACTTCATTTTGGTGATAGGTACGTTGTTGATTCCGGTTATGTGAAGCAACGGCAATACAACCCATCAACTGGCATGTATTCCCTTGATGTTGTTCCAATTAGCAAGTAAGAATTTGAATCTATGAGTTATTGTTTTTTGCAGCATTCAGTAACACCACACCACAAAGATATTTTTCTTCCAAATGATTTCCATTTGTAATCACTACAAATTTTGAGCTTGTAGCTTTGTATGATTGAAAGGGTGCAAGCCAATCAGCGTGCAGGACGAGCTGGAAGAACATGTCCTGGGAAATGCTACCGGTTATACCCATCCATGGTTTACCATGATGATTTTTTGGATGCTACAGTTCCTGAAATACAGCGGTCATCTCTTGCAGGGAGTGTCCTTTATTTGAAATCGTTGGACCTCCCTGATATTGATATTCTCAAATTTAACTTCCTTGATCCCCCTTCATGTGAGAAAACTCTGTTCTTCCTACTCTTCAGTGTTCAGGTTTTATTGCTCACAATATCTCTGTACAAGTATTCAGTGATTACATCTCAATGGCTTTGCTGCAGCTGAGTCATTAGAAGATGCTCTGAAGCAGTTATATCTCATTGATGCTATTGATGATAATGGATCCATTACAAGTGTTGGACGAACAATGGCTGGTACTGAATCCTTTTCTAAGTTAAAAACTTAATATGTTAGCTTACTAAAGACATGTAAGAAAGGGGGAAAGAAATTAGATTTGGACTATTTCTTTTTGAATTGTATCTAGAGTCATTGTATCGGTTTTGAAAATTGGGTGGATAATTATTTGAAAGCCTATTGTGTTGAATTTAGTTCCCCAAGGAAAGATGTTTGTTTTCTGTGTTCACCGAGAATTTTTCTGTGCTTTATGCAGAACTTCCTTTAGAGCCTTCCCTCTCAAGAACCTTATTGGAAGCAAATGAGTGTGGTTGCTTATCCCAGGCTTTGACAGTTGCTGCTATGTTATCTGCAGAAACCACATTGATTGCAGGTCGAAGGTAGATTCTTCAATTTTTCTGTAGCATACTTGTAGTTGCGAATGCTGGATTTTTTTGCAAGTTATCTCAAGTGTTATATACAATTCTATAAACAAGTAAAACTGTATCATGAAGAGCATGCAAAATTCGTTGATCTCAGAAGGCAAGAAATCCATTGCTCAAATTACATTCAAATAAGCAAATGGAGAGTAGCTGGCTGCAACAATTTTTTTTTTTTTGTCCTTTTCTATTCTTGTGCTGATAAAATGTCTTTGGGAAGTGGATAAGACTTCAACTGATATGAAGCTACATAATTCATGGAACAAGATGAGAACAGAATAATACCCGCAGCATTCTCTAGTTTTACATTTTACCCTGGAAAGATAGAAACTCTGGCCTGATATTTTTGCAGGTCCTTTGCCCGTTTGCATGTACCTAGTGGAGTTTCCAGCAGAGGCTTCTAAGCTGTCCTGCTCTCTGCACTTCCTATCAGCTTATTGTCATACAATCTCTGGCCAATCATCATCATTGCGAACCTAAATCATACCACCAGTGCACTCGCAAAACATTTGTCATGGTTTCCAATGATTAATAGAAGGAATCTATTTCTCCGTTACTTTAGGAAAGGTTATAAATTCAGTTGTAGTGGTTATAAATTCAGTTGTAGTGGTTATGATAAATGGCGAACTAGTGGCTCTATGTAATAATAGTTTCTTCTTTGATGTTTTTCCTTGCTGTCCCTGTATAAATGATGCAAATGTGCATTATTTATCTAAGTGTTAGAACCAGCATTTATATATCAGTAAGCAGTTTGGATCAATTACCTCAACCAATGGTTACAATAATCGTTGAATTTATCTACCCAGTGGTTCTGTGAATTTTGTGTGATGAATTATTATTTTTTGTTATGAAGTCTCCATTGTGGGGGCCATTGCCTGGTGTAGTGGAAGAAGTGTGGGGCTAAAAACTATGAGGTTTTACCCCGAAAAAAACTACCGGGTTGCAGATCCGAATTTAAGACAGACCCTTTGTACAAATAATACCAAATTTTACCTCTATTCATTACATATGTCTAGTAGCCTTGAGTAACAGGGGACAAAATGAGTATAATGACGTTTTTCTAAAAGAATCTCTCGATAATGATTGCAGTTGGTAATAATTTTTAAGCATTCTTATTATGCTGATGTTGGCACATATTCATCTTTCAAATCCTTGCATCTTGACTGTGTTTGCAGGTATAGCAGTACAGAATTACTTCATTTTCTGACAAAATGAATAATTACTTTTTCCATCTTTTCATAGAAATTTTGTTGGGGATCGTATGGTTGTTTTATTAGTTGTATTTATATTTATATAGTTTACAATAAATTTGTGCCCTCCTCTACGTTCCCATGCTAAAATTATTCTTTGATGTCATTATTGTCTTCTCTCGGTCTGCAGCAAGAGCACTGAAAAGAAGAGGAAGCACCCTCCTTCGGACCTTCCTGATGGTTCTGGCTGGGGTGATCACATCCAATTACTTCAGATCTATGAGCATTGGGATCAGACCGACTACAGCGTAGATTGGTGTAAAGACAACAACTTACAGGTACCTTTCTGCAGTCCTTTCTAGGAAGCTAATTTATATACATGCTACAAGAATAATTGTACATGTAATTCTCAATATACAACCTCTGGCTCCTTGGAACTATTATAAAAAAGTATTGTAGCCATCATTCTAGGGCAGCCTTGTGTGGACTCCAGTTCTGATGTAATTCAGGCATTAACTGTTTATTTTGTCACTTGGCAAGGAACTAGTGTGTTCTGATTATCCTTTTGCATTTGATTTAACTAGGAGCCTAGTAGTGGACTAAAATGAAGCAAATCCCCAAAAAAAATAGACATCAAACCAGGCAGACAATTAAAATTGAGATATTTGATTGCCTGTGCGCCTGTGTTCGCAACATGATTTCTGTTGGGTCTTTCTGATTGTAGGTGCGAGGGATGATGTTTGTCAAAGATGTTCGAAAACAATTATCTCAAATAATGCAAAAGGTTGCAAAAGGTTAGGGATCAACACTGCTGAGGGCATTCTGTGTTGCGAAATATGTAGCTCAAAGTTCTACCTTGATTTTCTGCTTTAGATATTTTCTGGCTTTTGTTTTGTTCGTCACATGAATTGTCTGCTGTTGAGGTATATCAAGTTTCTCTGAGTACTTCCCCCATAGAAATAGCTCTTTTTGATTTGTAACTTTAACAAACTTAGGATTTCTTCTAGCTGTGCATGGCTGCAAATAGTATTATCAGAGACATTGTCCTGTAAGCATGCATTGCTGGTGCTTTGAATGGACAATGTGGTCCTGTACAAAAGATATGTGAACGATGACATTGTGTCTGATGCATCTTTTTGATTGTTCTGCTTTGTCGGATACATCATTCTGTGTCCTATTATTTTTTTCATGCTCTTCTATTTTTAGTAGCTTTTCACAAGTATAGCATACGCTCTAGTCTGATCTCATGATTTACCGAAAATGCATATCTTTTTTTTCTGTTCACTTTTGTAGCTCAGCTGTTCTCCCTACTATTTCGGCTAATATTTATGTAACTTGTGCACCGAAGTTTGGGTGTTGTTTACTTGGCAAAACTGATTCCACATTCAGAAAGTAACTTTTTAATCACAGTAATGTTGGCCATGATCACATCAAAATCCAGGCATACAAAATGCACACACAACAACCAAGCACACAATTGAAAAAAAAACACAGCACAAGAGAACAGCATATGATCTTATTAGCAAGCCACATATAGGGTACAACAGAGAAACAGCATGCAACTAACTCGAGAGAAGAAAGCGGTTTACTTTGCAGCAAGTGCAGATCATTGGAGCCTAACCAGGCAGGTGATGTGACTGAATAAAATAGCAAAAAAAATACAAATAAAATTCTGGTCATGAGAATGCTGCTGGGTGCCTGAGATATGCATAATTTGGGGTATAGTTGGCCAAGTCCAATATAAGATGGGATGAGCATGGCAGAAAGGAGCCTCTTGACCTGCATATCATCTACATGTAGGTCGCAATTGTATAGATGCATTTGCTATTTTGACCTATAATGTAGGACTTTGTCTTTCAATTCTTTTGTTGACTTGGCTGTTGTTTTTGTTTTTCTTACCCCTGCTGCTTCCTGCTACACTTGAACATTGTCTCTCTTATTTCTCATACCACGAGCTGTTAACTTGAGCGGTTTCTTCTGCCTCAGACACAAGGAGGCAGAGGGTTCAAGTCTCAGTGAGGACATTGTACTACTTATCATCACTGGAAACAAAATTTCTCATGTTAGGTTATGTTGTCTATGGAAAACAGGGTCCTTAGATGTACGTACAAGTGAAAGATGGAAAGAAAGCCGACAGGCTTATAGGAAGTTGAGGAACGCTTTGTCTGTTGGCTATGCAAGCCAGCTTGCTGAGCGAATGATACGTCATAATGGTTATAGAACTCTTGGTTTCAAGTCCCAACTTGTTCAGGTACTTTACGTTACAACGTCATATGCAATTATGTTACCATGTCATGTACAACCACTGTAAAAAAATGATTAGTAGCTGAGGTTTTTAGACTCCTGAACTAGCTGCTAGTAGTTTATGCACAGCTCTATTTTTCAGTTTCTTTGTTTCAAATATGCCCGATGTCCAATATACTTTTTCTTAGGTGCATCCATCCTCTGTTTTGAGAACAGATGAAGAGGGAATGCTCCCAAATTACGTTGTGTACCATGAACTTATTGCTACATCGCGTCCATTTATGCGGAATGTGTGTGCAGTGGAGATGTCATGGGTCATGCCTATTTTGAAGAAGCTTGAGATGATTAACATCAACAAACTCAGGTAAACCTGTTTTTCCTGGGAAATATTCAGATGTTCCATTTTTAGTTGTTAGTCAGCCTTTTTTGTGTTATTTCATTGAGCGTGAGCCTTATTTGTATGAAGCAGTGGTGGATCAAGTCAATCTGAAGAGAGGAGCGAAGGAGAAAACTCGATCCTGCTGAAAAAAGATGTTAATACTGGTGGGCCACCTGAAGACCGTGATGCTAGGATACAAGCAGCTCGTGACCGCTTTCTGTCTCGTAAAGCACAGAGATAGCGTTGTGCTTGGCACCATGTGTACCGTATCAGTACTCCTGGTGGGGGTGGGGGTGGATGATACAGTCTGAAGTTCCAGCTATTCAAGGAAAAATGATGGCCACGTGGGACGAAGCCTTCAACTATCATCACTCTTGGTGGGATCTGGTATTGTTGATACCTTCTGAAGTTCCAACTGTTGATAATAATGGTATCTCAACCTTATCTGTCCATAATTTGTGCCGCTGATGTGGGAGATGAAGGCCATGGAAGAAGAACCCAACACACGGAAGGCAAGTATTATACTGTTTTTGGTTAAGCGTTGGGCTCCTAGTTGTGGATTACTCATGGGATGTAGCATTATTCAGCTAAGGTATACACCTACCAAAAGTATTTCCATGATGCAATTTCATTTGTTTTCAACAGAATAAGGGAATGACAGTCTGTCTCTCTATACGCACACAAGTGCTCTCTTGAGATGAGCTGTAGAAACTTTCTAATGTCACCTTATGCTTTATGAAACTGTGCTGGACCTTAGCTTTATTTATCGTTCTTCGTTGATGGTGGATGGTCTATTAATGCCGTATGAGGCACATCATCATAGAGCTTTTAGTGACTAGTGCTATGTCGTTGACCAAGGCAAATAGTGACCATATTATGCGGAATTTAGCTTTTATGGTTGCTGGCGCGGGTGCAAGAGCATGCGTCTTTGTGTGCAGGCGCTGTTATGAACAAGATTCTAATAGACGCACTCAACTCTAACCATTGGAATGAGTAAATAGGAGCCTCCGGTATGAGGTTTTTTGATTTTGAAAACTACACCAAATAAAAAATGAGAAACAGTTCAACGTCAGATTTTTCCCTCACGATCAGGTCTGATAAGAGTCGAGAAG